CATAACAAGTTATTGCCCTAACTTGTTAGGGTAGAGGGCAATAAAATTATGTGTGGTTATCACAATAGCCATTTTCCTGCAACAATCACAGGATAGGCTTACATCTATGACCTCAGCAAACATGTACTAGGCACAAGGGGAGCCTGGTATAAAAATTTTGTTGCACCTGAAAAACAGTACAAAGGAGCTGCTTTTATTATGGCAGAAATGTATTCCCATTTTTCAAGAACTGAGCAGTCATTCAAACATAGCACTTCACATTTTTGTTATTAACAGTAGTACAATAAGTGGAATACTTTATGATTTACTAACAATAATGATAGTTAGATAGGTTTTAATTCTACATCTTCAACCCAGAGAGCTTGCAGTTCCAATCTTCCATATATTACAGGCACTTAAACTCAATGTGTCAACAGTGAGTTTAATTCTCTCATGTCCTTCCACAATCTATTTATTCTCTCATTTCCCATCTAGTAAATGACACCCCCTTCCAGACAGTTGTTCAAATTCGAAGAAAATAAAAAGGATTGCAGAAGGAAGGAACGAAGACAAGCAAATTTGATAACTCAGTGTTACCCCACATACAATAACCAAGATCCCTTGATTCAATGTCCTCAGAATATTTTGAATCTACTTACCTGTCCCTTTACCTTTTTTTTTGAGCCAGTTTTACTCTGTCACCCAGGCTGAAGTACAGTGGCACAATTTTGGCTCACTGCAACCTCCACCTCTCGGGTTCAAGCGATTCTTCTGTCTCATCCTCTCAAATAGCTAGGATTACAGGTGCACGCCACCACACCTGACTAATTCTTGTATTTTTAGTAGAGACAGAGTTTCGCCATGTTCATTAGGCTGGTCTTCAATTCCTCACTTCAGGTGATCCACATTCCTCGACCTTCCAAAGTGCTGAGATTACAGGCGTGAGCCACCATGCCTGACCCTTTCTCCCCCTTTACTGATTGCTGTTCCTTTAGCTTGGGGTTCTACCATCACTTGCCCAAACAAGAGTAAAAGCCTTCTAATGAGCTGCTGCCTCCAGATTTCACCCTCTAACCTGTAGCCCTAATTTCGGTCTGGATGACTGTACTCAAATAATCATCCCAGTAATCCTCTTTCCTGTGCTTGACTAACGTACAGCACTTTCCCTATTTGGACCATCCTCTCAGTCTCCCCTGTGAAACTATCTGCAAATTCATTTCAATTTTACCCAAGATGGAGTCTTGCTTCAGGCTGGAGTGCAGCCCTGAAATCTTTGCTCACTGCAACCTCTGCCACAGCCTCTGGAGTAGCTGGGATTACAGGTGTCTGCCACCATGCCCAGCTAATTATTTGTATTTTTAGTAGAGATGGGGTTTTACCAAGTTGTCCATGCTGGTCTTGAACTCCTGATCTTGTGATTCACCCACCTTGGCCTCCCAATGTGCTGGGATTACAGGTGTGAACCACCATACTCTGCCTTAGTTTCAAAATCTACTGTTACAAATTTTCTTATACTAACCACAGTTTATCAATCACTTTATCCCTCATACCCATATTCACGCTACAATATTTTACACTTAGCACATACAATTTTTCCAACATTGCACATGCCTACCTTTATTAAGAAAATATATATGACTTTAGAATTTTTCCCTATACCCAATACCTAGTAGAGTTCTTTTTTAGCAAGTGCCAATAAATTGTTAAAAGATCAATACATGTATGATTCTTACAGTTATCAAGAGCACAGTCTTAGAAAAATGATAGAGCTGATTTTAAATCCTAAATCTAACATGGGTTGTGTAACCCTGCAGAAGCTACTAATATCTCTTAAGTTCACCTTCTTCTACGTGAGGAGAGATGAAGCAGTTTGTGAAGTGTGCTACACTTGAGTGAATGGCTCAGGTAAAGCACACCCAAGTCACCTTTATTTGGTACAGATGAGGAGGTATAGACAAGGGAGACAGGGGGTTGTATGCAATCCTTCAGGCCTTCCTCAAGCTCAGGGGAAACCTACTTTGTTGAACATAGACAGATGTCCTGAGGCTGTGATTCAGTAAAGAAACCCCACCCACTCGCAACAGCACCTTCCTTTCAACAGAGATTGTGGGAGAATGGTTTTGTATGTCTGGAGAAAATCCAGTCTGATCTTGGGTCTGTGCTACTTAAGGGAGCTGCAGACAAAATCTTTCAATGGGATGCTTGTGGTGATAGGAACTACAGCCTTTCCTTCTGAGGGTGGGGAAAGCCAGTAGTCCCAGCTATTCCTTTTCCATGTCACTCAGAGAAAACTATACATCTTATTCAGTAGACAATTCTGCTTGTCTCCTCTGACTCCTGCAAGAAATGGCAATATTCATGTGCCTGCTTCCAGACATTGTCACCAACAAATCAGTAGATGTTTATTCTTTACAGTCTCTGACATATATTAACTGTTTAATAAATGATGGCTATATAATATCGTTTTAATAAATTAATATATTGCAAAGCCAATGCTATGAATAAGTAGAAAATGTGAGCATGACTATGGTGTAATTGAGGTATTAAAGTCAATCAAAGTCAATTTGATCAAACACATTCCCATAAGATACTCACATCCAACCCATTCTTGGATTATTTTCTGATTACCTACAAGAATATTTGTCCATTAAGTTTATTACTTTTTCTCCTTTAATAATGGTTTAAAATTACACAACCATAATTTGCCATTAACTCCTGCCATACTATTTCCCTATATGGGTTTAAGTTTGAATTTAAAATCCTATTGGCTCCTGGTACTACTATTTTAACCATGGGTCAATGTGAAAAGAAGAATGACCAAATACATGGACAGTATGCTCACCCCAAAGATAGCAAATGAAGTCCCAGCAAAAAGAATATTCCAGAAGGTTGCAGATCAAGAAAGGTGAGGGGGAGGTTTTAGTTATCATGAGTCACAGAGCAGCAGATATCTCAAAAGAACCCGTACTTTAGTTATCACCACCATGTGGACATTATACCTGGTGCTTTAGAGCCAGCAAAACAGCATAAACAGTCTCATTAAACTGTTGCTCTTAAAGTTATGTTTGTTAATATTCAGTTTATATCCTAGATTTAACGCATACTAAGTGTGTGGTATTGAACAAATTGCTTAGTGTTTCTAAGAACCTGTTTTCTCTCTAATAAATGGGTGGTTTGAGGATTAAATTATTAGTAGAATGTCTATGAAAAATTACATGCACAATAACTGTTAGCTAGTTTTACACTGTGATAGACAAGTATTTTGCAAGGTGGACACTCTGAATAAGTGGAGAATATAACCGTAAATAGGAAGCACTTTGAAATTTGTTTTACTAGTTGTCCATCATGTGACATGAGCTTTGCTAAACTCAATGATCCAAAGACAAATAAGACTACTGTCCAAGCTCTAGTTTCCAGAATCAAAACTGCGGGTAGGATTTTTTTTAATGCATTATTTTATTCAGGTGTTGTATTTGTGATGTGAGGAACTAACATGGAGTAGATAAGCTGGACTGTTGAGGCCAGGAAAGCCTGCAATTACAGTGGACAGACAGTGAGAGGTTAGTTGGTCACTGACCCATCTCTATTATTCAACAACTAGAGGAAATGTCAACATGAGCTTGCTTTCTGGAGTTTGGCAAACTTGGCTGCAAATCCAGCTCTGCCACTTCCTGTCTGTGTGGCTGGAGCAGGTCACTCTCTGTAAGCTTTAGCTTTCTCATTTTCAAAGTAGGTGAACGGAGTAGTTACCTAGTAATATTTATCTGAGCTATTTTGAGGAGTCATGAACTGCTTAGAATAGTACAAATAACAAGCACTAAGAAAACAGTGATATTTCTAGAATTACAGAAATTCATGTTATTAATATTACTATTAGTGTTACTGCTATTATTACTATTAATATTATATTAATACTTTTAGTATTATTTTGTAGGTCCTGGAGAAATCAGGGCTGTCAAAGATGTTTGATGGTAGAGATAGACACTGAGAACAACACGAAACACAGGAGAAGACCCAAGCAAACCATGCAACGTGATCCCTCTGTCAGAGTTTACATGACTCACTTGATCCCCTTATGACCTGCTTTCCTTTTACGTAAATAAAGTGAAGCAGAACTTAACTTGGCTTACATCATAAAGTGATAGCATATATGTGAAAAAAGCTTTAGTAGCTAAAAATAAATGTTTACTAGAGAAAAAAACAATATTGTGAAATTGAGCAGTCCTTGGTTCTTCTCTAGATTACTTCACACGTGAGGCTCTGAGCAAATTACTAAATCTCTTCAAACCTCACACTGTTCGTCTGATAATTGTAAATCATATAACTAACTCACTGTTCCATAATGAAAGAGTATCTAACAGGATAATTTGGCTTGAAGGTGTAACTATCAATAACTCTTAGGTCCCTTCCCCACAAAAAATATATATAATAATACGCGTCATTAAGAACAGACTAAGTGAATCTGTGGTTTCCATCTTTTTTATGTGAAAGTATTTTAAACACATGTTATATATTCTGGCAGAGGTCTCTACTTTCTCTATTAATTTATACAGAGAGCACGGCATATTTAAAAGTGAATTGCATGACACTGTTTTTAGGCAAAAGAGAAAAATATTTTTTCATTTTATAACAGATGACTAGTTAAACTAAATGGAACACTCTCCCTTTTATAAAACTAAGGATGCCTAAATGAAATTTTGTCAAATATTAACTCATGAAGGAAAGTTCTAATAATTGAAAGTTAGAATCAAGTCAATAATATTCTATTTAAATAAATGCATTCACATGTATCCATGAATCTATCGTATCTATCAAGTACTTCCGCCTCTGAATAAAATGTTAAGTCGAACAGTAAAGTCAATTGGCATGCAGGGGCTACACACAAAAAAGCTTTCCACAAAAATCATTCCTATTTTTTATATCTCTTTACATAGCTAAAAAGTCCGTTTCAGTTTGCAGTTTGGCTTTTAAAACATCTCTTTTGATATCTATGTCAGTGTGTTGGATAAACAAACACTTACTGTATGCACATCCAAACACTTCGATTCGCATTCCAATTCTGCCCTTGGGGTTCCATTCTAAAGGGATGAAGCGCAGAAATCTGGCTTTGATAGAAGGCTGGAGTCTATAGTACACAACACTGTCTGCATTTGCATTTCCTGAAAAACCCTACAAGAAAACGGAAAGAAGGAAATCAATGTATATGGAGAATATCCGTTTCAGTTTGTCACCTATAATGTCTAATGAGCAATGCGTGATCTGCATTTTACTATGAATGGTGCTACCATTCTACAAGAAAATCACATTAACAGTTATGTCAGTGATGTCTCTCCATCCACAGAAATCACTGTGGCTTAAACTTTTCTTTTTACGAAGAGAGTTGAAATTCTACCACCCCATTAAACCAGTTTTCAACCACGATACCTGCAATAAAGATTGCTTCTGTAAAGTGTAGATTAAACATAAAAGTATACCATGTCTGTAGCACTTAACATTGTGAATGGTGCCAGAAGAAAGTGAGAAAATATTCTCCAAGGGTTGAAAAAATATTATCTAAGTCAACAAAGAAGTTGCTGACATCACTGATGAATGAATCAACTTACGACATGTTTCGCTTCTTTCGCTTTCTCATCTAACTTATTAATATAAAGGAAAGTACCACCCAACAATGAAGTTCAAGCTACACTCTGGTAACAGGTAGTCGAACCTCAGCAGCATACTGGCATAGACACACATTCAGATTGTTAAGGGAAACTAGAAACAACAATAATTTGGAAGGACCTACAATTAAACTCATGGACTTTAGAATTTTAAAGCTAGAGAAATCTAGCACAGTCAAATTGCAGATAAGGAAATTAAATGTCACAAAGGAGAGGAAAAAAATCCTCTCGTATTTGCAACCATTATATGGTAAGACCAGGAGCTATGCTTCTTCTATAAAATCAGGATGCATCTACCTAACACGTAGCTTACCTGTAACGCCCACATACTGCAGCAAAGAGAATTTGATTCTCCTTGTCAGTCAATCCCCTACCTCTTGCCCCCACCCCACCAGTACCCTATACGCTAAGCAACTTTGTTTCCTTAACAAGACACACATTGTTAAGACTGCAGGTGGAGCCGGGTGCGGTGGCCCAAGCCTGTAATCCCAGCACTTTGGGAGGCCGAGGCGGGCAGATCACGAGGTCAAGAGATCGAGACCATCCTGGCCAACATGGTGAAACCCCGTCTCTACTAAAAATACAAAAATTAGCTGGGCATGGTGGCGCGTGCCTGTAATCCCAGCTACTCGGGAGGCTGCGGCAGGAGAATTGCCTGAACCCAGGAGGCGGAGGTTGCCGTGAGCCGATATTGCGCCACTGCACTCCTGCCTATCACCTGGCGACAGAGTGAGACTCTGTCTCAAAAAAAAAAAAAAAAAAAGAAAAGAAAAGAAAAAGAAAAACAAAAAAGACTACAGGTGGAGAAGTCAGCATGAAGCAAAAGTTATTCTTAATAACTTACATTTCATTTTTATTTCTCCTCCTCCTTGTCATGTCCTCCTCTTCCTCTCCTCCATTTATTTCTTTCATAATAAGGGAACATGCAACTACATTTTCAGGTTCATTATAGGTACCTTGCCCATGACTTGTTCAACAAATAAGTTCAACTTTATGTAGACTGCACAAGGCAAAGATAAATACACTAGAAACGCCAGTACACAAAGAGTCTGACCATTCACCTGTTTTTCTTTCTACTTCACAGATATTCCTTTCCTAGCATTTACCAAAACATTTTCTAATACATTTTTAAAGATTGAGTGTTTATAGTTAAATTAATTTGATTTTCCTTGTCAATCCATCCCCTACCTCCTGCCCCCACCCCATCAGTACCCTATATGCTAAATGTTCAAGCTCATACAACACAGGAATATCTGTGATCGCATCTTCAAATTATATCCCAAATCGAGGCATCTTTATCTCAATTATGATCACTCAGTTCAACAAAGAATCACCTTACCAGAACTACCTTGACAGCCTCTTCCTGGTCTTTTTTTAAAAATATATATTTTACTGCATTTTAGGTTTTGGGGTACATGTGAAGAACATGAAAGATTGTTGCATAGGTACACACATGGCAGTGTGGTTTGCTGCCTTCCTCCCCATCACCTATATCTGGCATGTCCCCCCATGTTATCCCTCCCCAACTCCCCACCCCGTACTGTCCCTCCCCTAGTTTCCCCCAACAGACCCCATTGTGTGATGCTCCCCTCCCTGTCTCCATGTGTTCTCATTGTTCAACTCCCCCCATGAGTGAGAACATGTGATGTTTGATTTTCTGTTCTTGTGCCAGTTTGCTGAGAATGATGGTTTCTAGCTTCATCCATGTCCCTACAAAAGACACAAACTCATCATTTTTTAAGGCTGCATAGTATTCCATGGTGAATATGTGCCACATTTTCCCTGTCCCAGTCTATTGTCGATGGGCATTTGGGTTGGTAACAAGCCTTTGCTATTGTAAACAGTGCCACAGTGAACATTTGTGTGCATGTGTCCTTATAATAGAACGATGTATAATCCTTTGGATATATACCCAGTAATGGGATTGCTGGGTCAAATGGGATTTCTATTTCTAGGTCCTTGAGGAATTGCCACACTGTCTTCCACAAGGATTGAACTAATTTACACTCCCACCAACAGTGTAAAAGTGTTCCTATTTCTCCACATCCTCTCCAGCATCTGTTGTCTCCAGATTTTTTAATGATCGCCACTGTAGCTGGCATGAGATGGTATCTCAATGTAGTTTTGATTGCATTTCTCTAATGACCAGTGATGATGAGTATTTTTTGATATGTTTGTTGGCCTCATATATGTCTTCTTTTGTAAAGTGTCTGTTCATATCCTTCACCCACTTTTGAATGGGCTTGCTATTTTCTTGTACATCTGTTTTAGTTCTTTGTAGATTCTGGATATTAGCCCTTTGTCAGGTGGGTAGATTGCAAAAATTTTTCCCATTCTGTTGGTTGCTGATTCACTCTAATGACTGTTTCTTTTCTGTGCAGAAGCTGTGGAGTTTGATTAGGTCCCATTTGTCTATTTTGGCTTTTGTTGCCATTGCTTTTTGTGTTTTAGTCATGAAGTCCTTGCCTATGTTCTGAATGGTTTGACCTAGATTTTCTTCTAGAGTTTTTATAACGTTAGGTCTTATGTTTAAGTCTATCTAATCCATCTGGAGTTAATTTTAGTGTAAGGTGTCAGGAAGGGGTCCAGTTTCTGCTTTCTGCATATAGCTAGCCCGTTTTCCTAACATCATTTATTAAACAGGGAATCCTTTCACCATTGCTTCTTTTTGTCAGAGCTGTCAAAGATCAGATGGTTGCAGATGTATGGCATTGCCTCTGAGGCCTCTGTTCTGTTCCATTGGTCTTTACCTCTGACTGGAAGCATTCCCTTTGAAATCTGGCACTGGACAAGGGTGCCCTCGCTCACCACTCCTATTCAATATAATATTGGAAGTTCTAGCCAGAGCAATCCGGCAAGAAAAAGAAATAAACAGTATTCAATTAGGAAAGGAGGAAGTCAAATTGTCTCCATTTGCAGATGACATGATTGTATATTTACAAGACCCCACAGTCTCAGCCCCAAATCTCCTGAAACTGATAAGCAACTTCGGCAAAGTCTCAGGATACAAAATCAATGTGCACAAATCACAAGCATTCCTATACACCAATAACAGACTTAAAGAGAGCCAAATCAAGAACAAACTGTCATTCACAATTGCTACAAAGAGAATAACATACCTAGGAATACAACTAACAAAGAATGTAAAGGACCTCTTCAAGGAGAATTACAAACCACTGCTCAACAAAATAAGAGAGGACACAAACAGGTCGAGAAACATTCCATGCTCATAGTTAGGAAGAATCAGTATCGTGAAAATGGCCATACTGCCCAAAGTAATTTACAGATTCAATGCTATCCCCATCAAGCTACCACTGACCTTCTCCACAGAACTGGAAAAAACCACCTTAAACTTCATACAGAACCAAAAGAGAGCCCACATAGACAAATCAATTCTAAGCAAAAAGAATAAAGCTGGAAGCATCACACTACCTGACATCAAACTATACTATAAGGCTACAGTAATCAAAACAGCATGGTACTGGCTCCTGGTTTTTTTTAATATCTTGTTCTTTGTCGTCACTCCCAGTATCTTCCCCTCTGAGCACACAGTAACACTAGTGAAGGTAAATTTAACTCTGCCATCCTCACTGCTTCCTTTACCACTTAGAACAAAACCTAAACTCCTTATCCAAACAGTCTTCGGCAACCACTTCCATTATGCTCTAACCACACTGGACCTACTTGAAGAAGCCAAGCTCAGTCCTCTCGGGAATCTGAACCAGCAGTCCATTCTGCTCTGAAAGTTCTTTCCCCAGATCTTTGCATGCCCAGCTTCTCTTGTCATTTTAAGCCTTGACTAAAATATTAGCCCCAAGACAGGTCCCTTTTGATCACAGTCTCTAAAGTACTTGTGTACTTGATACCCCCTGTAAATATCTTCCTACTTTCTCTATATTTCTCATATTTGGGGGGATTTCTCTTATTTGATCATTATCTGCCTGTTTATCTTAATCCTCCTAGAAAACAAACTGTACCAAAGCAGGGAGGTTTATAGTTTTCCATCCATAATACCTAGAACATTGTTCGGCTCAAAGTGGTTCTCAATCTAATATTTGTTGAATGTTTATGTTTGGGAAAGACTGAGCTTAAAAACAGAACAAGTTGAACGGATGTCTCAATTACAGGATGTCTCAGGCATGTCACGTGCTAACGTGCAAATTGCAGTGTATCAGCCCATGATAGGGACACTTACCTAGAACATCTCAAACATATTAGGCCACAGAACTGTCCCCCTCTGTTTTTGCTGTTGTTGCTGCTATTGTTTTGCAGAGCACATTTCTAGACTAGTGTTTCCCAGAACATAAATAGGACAACATTGTTTAATTCCATGGATATTTAGACTCTGATAACCAGACCCTTAGGAGGTTCCATTCTGTTTCAATGACTAAAATTTTTTTGCTGAGGTTTGGTAAGAAAGGTTAGCTGTTTTCTATATAGCACTAACCAAACCTCATTCCCACCCAACCTTGAGAGCACTACAGTCTCAATTTCTATGGAAATCCTGAT